CAGGCCAGCCCGCGGACCGACGCCGCCCCGGATGGACGACGGTGCCGCCCCGGACCCCCGGCGCGAGGGCACACACCCCCACCACCACCCCCGACGGTGGCCGTTGGCAGCGGTTTGCCGGTCACCCCCGCAGCTCCCATCCCCGCCTCTCACCCCGTCGGGTCTTCTAAGGCCAGACCTAAAAATCCCCCGGACCAACGAGCGCAAACCGCCGCCGCCGGGAGCTTGGGAGCTGCGCTGGGGTGGGGGGGGCGGAAGCCGCGGAGGGAGGAGTCGCCGCGGGACGGGGCGGGGGAGGGCGTGGCCAAGCGGGGCTCGTGCCGTCCTCGCGCCTCGGGGCCTCGGGCTCCCTCGCCTCAGCCTCACGCGGAGTCGTTCCCCCCCACCCCGCCCCACCTCGGCCAATCAGCGGCCGCCCCTGGAGAGGAGGGGGGCGGGACTGAGTGAGTCCCGAAGAGGCGCTTGGCGACAGGAAAAAGGGGACGGTGGAGTGGCAGGCGCGCTGGCCAATCGGGACGAGGAGAGCGAATCTGGGCGAGTGGGGTTTGGCGCGTGGAAGACTGGAAGGCGTTACAAAACAAGTTACAATGTGAACTTGTGTGTCTGCGGTGGAGGAGACGTGTAGGTAGGCTGAGAAAGTTTCTTCGGTCTTGTTGGATGGAATTTGCAAATCTGGAACTACTTCGTGTGACCCCCCCAAACAGTCATGGGAACCGTTATAAAAGAGGACGGGAGGGGTGGCCTCCAAAGACTTCTCCAAGTCTCCTTCAAACGGATATGATGAGACCCTGATGATAAATAACGTTAACATAGTTTGAGCCCTTTTCTGCTTCTCCATACCGGCAGCTACCCAGGGCGTTGTCCATCTGTTCTCGCAGTACTTTAGCAAAGGTGCGGTGTGTTTTACAGACAGAAACCCACGCAGACAGCTTCAGGCTTTTGCATCTGTTCTCGCAGTACTTTAGCAAAGGTGCGGTGTGTTTTACGGACAGAAACCCACGCAGACAGCTTCAGACTTTTGCACAGTAAGTGGCTCCAGGTCTGTGCCGAAAGGTGCATATAGAAGCACGGTGTTATGTACTATCTATCCCAAAGGGTGCCCACCAGGAGAACGCCACGTACAACGCCAGGGGCGCATTGGCAACTCGGAAAGGACTCGTTCTTAAACTCCGCTCTGCTCAGTACACTTAAAACAAGTTGAAAGCCTAAGCCTAGTCTGATAGACTTGTTTGGCTTTGTTGTTTTTAAGATGTTTTTTTAACCTCAAAAACTGCAAAAGTAAGATTTGTTAAACACTATTTGCTAGGTCTTTTTGTTTCTTCGGGAAGAGGAGGCTGCCCACATTCTTTATTTTCAGGTGGGTGGCTTGTCCTTTACCAATAATGAATTCTACAAAAAGTTTCTGACTAGGTGAAATGGTTTTTAAGCGTTGTAGGAACCTTTTAGAGCCAGTAGGTGGCAATATTTCATTGTGAGATATGAAAGTTCTTGGTAGCCTGGGGGGCGGGGTGGGGGCTATTTAACATTCCCAATTTGGGGCTTTCTTCTCACACCCCACCCCCAGTATAAAGGAAACCAAGTAAATAAGAGTTTCTTTCTTTCTTTTTTTGGTTTTTCGAGACAGGGTTTCTCTGTGTAGCTTTGCGCCTTTCCTGGAGCTTGCTCTGTAGTCCAGGCTGGCCTCGAACTCACAAAAGTCTGCTTGGCTCTGCCTCCCGAGTGCTGGGATTAAAGGCGTGCACCACCACCGCCCAGCAAACAAGAGTTTCTTAAAGGGCACTAGAGTGAGACCATAAAACCTTGCTTTAGTAAGACAGTGTTAAAAGACTCCTGTTATAGATATGCCATTTCGGTCAAAATCTTAAAAGAAATTAAGCAAAATTCATTAGATGTCTTTTTCATCGAATGCTATAAAAGACTGTGATTTCTGCAACCAAAAATAGAGGAATAGCCTCTATTAGATTTCCAAGAAATGGATATCTGAAACCTTGTTTGCCACTAGAATTCTTCAAGAATAGATTCCACATTAGACTTAGTTAGTGGCTTGATGGGGAAAGTGATCCGAAAGGGGAAATATGTGAAATGTAGGTGATGCTTTGGACAAGAAAGAAGCAGACGCAGGAAACAGCCTTTGCTGAAGGCGACGGCAGAAGAGAAGTGCCGCAGCTTGGAGGGAAGTGAAGCATCACTGATAGCTCAGCATCAAGAGCCCTCGCTGCTCTTCCGGAGGACCCACACCAGTTCCTACCACCCAGGGCAGGTGGCTCACAACTGTAAGGCCTCCAGGTCCAGGGGATCTAGCACCACTGGCCTCTGTGGGCACATACCCACATACCAACACCCATACATAATTTTAAAATAATAAAACAATCTTTTTAAAATGGAAGGAATGTGCAAGATAGTTGGTTAGAATAGCTTGGATATATGTAAGTATATTTTCCCCCAATGAAATGCAAGCTTTGGGATATTGAGAAGTTAGTTTCATAGATGTCTTATAAAATACAAATCCCCAAAAGGTAAGGAAAACAATGGGAAGTCCTTGTAAATGTTTGTTCTCCAGCTCCCTGATAGAAATAAAGGTGAATTTTCCATATAAAGGTTGGTGTGTTGCAAGAGACTCCTCTATCCGTATCTGGCAGTCATGACACAGAGCCAAACACATGGCAACTCCTGGTGTGTTTCTAGAACTTTTATCACCAGTACAGAACTCCAGCACAGGAAACAGCTCTGCTTTAATCTGATTACTCTTCAGTCAAGATGACACCTTTGCAAAAGTTGGTGTTTTGGACTTGTTTTTTATGATGGCGGTGCAGTCATCTTCCCAGCCCAGTGGACCACTCTCTCCTGGGGTGTGATACTCTCTGCAGCAGAATGGCTGACTGGCCAGAAGTCCCTGTCACTTTGAACCCTGAGCCATTATCAAGATGTCTCTAAGGCAAGGTGAGTGCTTCAGCCGGGCTTCCTCTGGTGATAGAAATGAGCCATCTTGTGTTCTACCTATATTGTCCTGTGATTGGCAGTCTTGCTTTTATGGCAGTAAAACAGACATCACGTTCTTGGCATGTAGCTCAGCGTCAAGGTATCAGTATCAAACCCATGGCCAAGACCTTAGTTAACATTACAAATTGAAGGAAGTTCTGATGAGAACAGAATTTCTGGTTTGTACTAGTTCTTAGTTAATAGCAGGAACATGTTGCAGAGGCTTCTCACTGTGAGGGACAGGGAACAAAGACAGAGGGGAAGGGCTTGAACACAACACATCTTCAGAGGCACACCTCCAGTAATCTCCTTTCTTCAGCTAGGCTCACCTCCAACCACAGCACTGCTGGGATCAAGCAAGCACATGACAGAGGAGCCTGTTGCGTACATTTCATTCATACAACAAGCCTCTTTTATTATTATCAGGAAAAAAAACCCCTGATGTGTAGTTACAAGAAGGAACTATAAACCTAAAACTGCTACTCAGAATGTGGGGAGGCAGTGTCGCCTACAATCTCTAGATTAACCTATGAAGCACATCTACATGTCAAGTCCACTGACCAGCACAACATACAAGAAACTTCACCATCTCTTCTAGAAGTTAGAAACACCCACTTTTACTCAGGAAAGTGAAGGCTGAAATCATTTGTCCATGGTTCCAGCCAATTGGGAGCCTGACACAAAGCAGGATCCTCCCCCTTAATCAGAGAGAATTCCCCCAGGGAAGACCAAACAAAAGAACCACAAAATATGAAAACTTATTGTAGCAAAATTTAAACAAATGATCATGAAACACATAGGAAAAAATAGTGGGTTGAATAAATAATTAATACACAAACTTATCTCAGTAGATTTTACTCTTACTGTAGAAATAATTTTTGACAAAATATCCCTTATTATATCAGATGGTCCTGTCATAGAAGAAAACCCAAATACAGTGGTGGATGTTCTAGGCATTTTAGATGGACCCAGCAGGCCACTGCTGGATGAACCTTCTAGCAAGACTGTGCATTTGCAGACTAATGTTTGAGCTGGGATTCAGTCACACCCACCCCCAAGAGTGCTGGGATTTTGACTGAGCCCAAACTGGCAGTTTCCTGAAACATTGCTTATTGACCTCTGCTGACTTTCCACACAAGGTTCTCCTTCCTCTCAACTACCATAGCCTTGCAGTTGCACCCAATCCCTGTCATAGGCTACTTGATGTTTGCAGGCAGTCCTAATCATTTCCAGATAAGCATGAGTTACTTTGTTCATAATCATGTTGATTGCATTCATAAATAACTTGATAAAAGGAAAAAATAATAAGACAAAAGAGAATTTTTTTAAAAAATGGTAGTGGCAATAGAAAAGGGTAAAGCACCCTGAACCCCGTGAGTTTCCTGGGTGTGTGCTGGGGTAATGTGGAGCATGAGTAGATGCCTGGAAAGGGGTGGCACTTCTGACTGTGGTGAGCCAGGGCTTATCCTTAGTAAGATTCTCACCTGAACAACAGGAAATTTCGGAAGACAAAGGAAACACCTTTTGTACCTTAAACCCAGAGCCAGTACTTAAAGTGAGGAATTGAAACTCTGAGTTGTAGATGCAGAGATAAGGAAAAGAGTTCATGTGGAAATGTGCAACCCAGATCACAACTTCCCAGCATATTATCACCAGTAGTCCTGGCAGGCAGAAGCCTGGCAAAGACCACATAGGGCTACCCTGTCCCTCTGGTCTCCAAGGTCTAGTGGCTCACTTTCTACATTACAGCCATCAAAGGCCCAACATCTGCTTCGCAGTTAGATAATATGAATTTGTTGTAGTAGGAGAGTAGTGTGCTAGGCTGGAAAGATGGCTCAGCAGTTGAAAATACTTTCTGCCTGTTAGGATAAAATGAGTAGAAATCAAATGCATGGTTGTATCTGTGGACATGAAAATACCAAATGCCTTCAACATGCTTTTTAAAGAGTAAGCTGTTAGGAAGACAGAAACCAGTGTACTACAATTACTTACATTTTGTATACTAGCAATAAAAGCATGTGGCAGGAGCCTCATTTCTGTTCCTTGAGAAATGGATCTAGTCTTCACTAAGCATGTTTCTGTGGGTAATGTTTAAGCTGTGTTTGTTTGTGATACATAGACTCAAATTCAGAGCCTTGAACTTGAGAGAAAATTGTTTTAACTCTGAGATAATTCCCTAAACGCCAAATGTTTTCATCTCTTCCTACTTTTCTGAAGTTTGGGTCTGTTTTGTATTTATTGTGGATATTACATTTTTCATAATTGTTATCTGTACTTTTTATTCAACTTTATTCTATTTACTTAAGTTTAATTGTAATAGGAAATTTTTGTGGTTGCTTCAGATGCAACAATATTTATAACTAACCCCTAAAACTTTATGAAAAGGTAACTTGAATATATCAAATAAAATATGAATATCATGAATAAAGAGTACTTGCTGCTCTTGGCAAAGACCTAGTTTGATTCCCAGCACCCATATGGTGCCTCACATCTATTTGTATAGGTACATGTTTGAATGTATGTCTCTAGAGAATTATAAATGAAAAAGATCTTTCCTAGCTACATGTTTATAAACATGAAAAATAATTGTAACACTGAAAGAAAGTGACATTCTGGTGTGTTTTAAAATTTACTGTGTGTGTGTGTGTGTGTGTGTGTGAAATGAGTACTTGAAATGCCTTAAAATATATAATTTATTAAAGAGAAATAAAACAACTGTAAGCAAGATATAGTCAACAGTCTCAAACTTGCAGCTGTAGGTGTTTGGGGTCCGTTTGGTCTCTTGTTACCCCCTTTTCAAGCACATATTATAGTCACGGCCTGAGGAAAGGTACAGGGTCTGCATCAACCAGGTGACTAGTCTGCAGAGGGTCGTTAGGATATGGTCTTGGTTTCTCTTGTTTTCTCATATTTCTGCTACCCTTCAGGCTGACATTTAAGAGATGCCAAAAGGACCCAGATGAAGCAGAGGGGCCTGTCTTCACAAGAATAGACTGTACCATGTGGCTTTCCAACAAGACCATCCCCAAATATTCAGCACTATCTT